TCAATATCTCAGCAACAAAGCACCATGGGGATGAACCAACTTAGGGTATTTCACTACTCACTGAGGTCTACAAGATACAAGTAGTCCGAGTTCAAAAGCGATTTATAACCTCAAGAGGTTCCCTCGTCAGTGTCATCGAACCAAATGCTTTTATTATATAGAGAAAACGTACATGTCGTTGAGATAAAAAATCAAAGCACAGTGTGTGTTAATTCAAAATTAAAAGTAACAGAAAAACCGAAAAACTCTTACGGAAAAACGATTGAAGAATCACATTAAAAATCAGATCAGCTCATGAACAATGATGAAAAAGCATTAGGAAAAGTAACGGCATCTTTTGCCAAACGTCAATTAGAAATGTCAGATATCAATAAAGTAGAACCATCGTCTACAATTCAAAATACTCAAAAGAGTCAAAATACAAAACAAGTAGTCACAGGAGATGCGATCAAAAGAAAAAAACAAGATAAAAGTGGCTGTTTTGGGACGTGTTGTAGTGACGACAAGATGAAAAAATGTACATCAAAACAACAAATTGTCACTGACAAGAAGACTAAAACCAAACAACAAACAAAAGTAGCACGATCATGACAGCTATCAACAACGATGATAAAACAAGACGAATCGAAAATAACAACAGAAGCGGATGTAATACAGGCAGTAATGAAAGACAATAGCTCAAAGAAGAAGATTGGGTAAGAATTTACGTTTGCTGAACAACCGAACTTTTAGCATATTAGTGTAACATAAAGCATACAAGGAGAAATCGAAGACAGAAAGGTTCATCTGATAGTTATACATAGATTCGTGAAAGATCCACCGATAATTCCGCTGGGGAAAGATGACAGAAAGGACGAGGTGTGTGAGTATCGAAAATTCGTACAACTTACAAATCCACTTTGAGCGCAAGGTGTTCTGCTAGTCTTATTTAAGGTGAAGTTTACCGGTAATAATGAGATGTAGCACTTCCACTGTCGGTTAGTTTTTATTTGTCGGTCTTTTTCTGTTTTGGTAAAAAAATAACAGAAAAAGAGGGGAAAAGAGAAGAACCGTGTTCGAGCCTTAGCTGGACTAATGTCTTACTTGATACAAATTCTGCGAAACGAAGCTGCCACAAGACATTACAAAAAGACTAATAATAAGACATTTTCTTGAATATTGTCTAGCAATGGCGAAAGGAAAAATAATAAAGTCCATTTTCTCCTGTATCTTAACATAAAGCCAAAAACGTTATTAAAAACGTAATCATAATTCGCTCATAGCTGCGAAATGTCTCATTTTTTTTTCATGATTTGGTGCATTTTAAAATGTTCTAAGTTTCCTTAGAATTGATTTTGGAATTTTTTAACAAATGCATTTTGTAGAGCAAACATTTTTCTACAAAATGAAACATTCCGCAGCTATGAGTAAATCGTAATAACCGATGTATAGCAATTCTCCCGGATGCCCCAACACCAGTTTTTAACTGGTGCATACCTAAACGCGACTAAAAGCTCTCATTATCATTCTGATGGACGCTCTCATGTTACTACTTCATCACAAAATCTAAGTCATACATTGCCCGATCAACAAGCTATTGGAGATAGAGACAACAGGCGCGCAACAAGTAACATGTCAACATATTCCACTCAATACTCAGAACCAGAATTCAATGCTCATAGTTTATCAGTTAAAACCGATAATCTTTCCCGTCTACCATCCGAACAATCATATATATCTACTCTTGCGAGTGAGATCGAAGCAGTACGCTATTTGCTCCCAACTTGGGCTGATACTTTCTGCAGTTTTATTTCTATATTGAAATCAATTCTCGATAAAATGTCGAAATTATTAACACCTCGTCCTAGAGAAGAAAACGACATGTTTGTTCATCAAACCGTCAGTCAGTCAACGGGTTCAGAATTTGATCCACAGCTGTCATGTGTAGGTCTTGAGTGGGTTAGACTTGATCGAAGTGATTTTAGGCCAATAACCATTATGCTCATCGATGCGCCAATGCCTCTCTGTTGTAAAAGATTGCACACAATATTGTGTACGCACGATATATAAACCAAGCCTAATGTGTGCGTAACATGATGTTTTTTGCATAGTTTTGGTGATTTATTATATTATATTATATTTTGGAAATGAGGATTATATACATTTGAAAAGAACAGTTTTCCTTAATGGCTTATATGTAGACTCTTAAGAAATAATTCGCCATGCATTCGGGAAAAATTCTAAATTACGACGCGCGATGCAGTGAAAATCCTATAACTCACTCAAAACTATGTAATACGATTTGAGAGTTTGTTATTGTACTCAGTTTTGTTTGCTGTGTACAATGATGTTATTAAAATTAATCAAAACCGGCAAGTGTAATGGTTTCTTTCTAGAGAACTTTATGTAAACTGATTTCTCGTCATTTACGTTCATCTCTGAAAGGATAATTTCCTGCTCGGATAAATACGAGTACTTGTTCGAGTACTCTCGCACATTTTATCCAACGTTCTTAGGAGTCTTTGTAAGTAAACCAGGTCTATGTCATTGAAGTCAAGTATTTAAATTACGTTAGTTGTTTATCAAATACTCAGCTAAACATTTGCTGAAGAATTGCGTGAGTGCCGATGACAGGTTCACCAAGTAAGTCAAATACCAGATAAGTGCTTTCAAGTATTTAGATAAGTAATCAACGAATTAAATTTCATGAAAATCCTTGTCAGTTTCTGTCGTTTTCAATGTTTCATTCAAACGAATAAATAGTTTGTGAAATACCACTATAGATGTATATTTTCTGTTTATGTTCTTGGTTCGTCAAACTGTATGATTACTGAAAAAACTAAAAAATTTGATCGATGTATAACTGACATTTACGTCTGAGTTTCGTTTATTTGAAAAATATTTTTACCGTTTTGATAGCGGAGCTGATTAAAAGCATTTGTACAAGTATTTCTCATGTTGTAGATGAAAGCGAAGAAAAAAGTGTTTGAAGAATATAATTGTTGTGAAACTCCTCCTAAGATTGCGAAACAGATGAGTTGAAGTAATACTCACCACCTTAGAGATTTTGTTGATTTTTTCTAGCTCGCTCCTTCTAGTAATGATCTCAAATTGCGATGACAATGATCTTATAGATAAAGGACTGATCTCGACAGATTATAGTAATGATCTTATAAATTAGGACCATAGGAATGATCGTACGAGACTATAGCAATGATCTTCGCGAATCATAGTATTGATCTTAATGATCCACAGTAATGATCTTATATTCGGTTTATTATTACGATTTCTTTAATCTTATTTACTAATTTCTTCTTTTCAATTTCTTCTGCTTCTTAGACATTTAGTTAATTTCAACAGAAATACTATAACTAAATCTGAATTTTTATTATTGTTTTAATCTTTTAAAAATATCGTACTCAGCAGAAACGCTATATTAACAAGCTTGTTGCAACGTTGTACTAACACAAAAACATTCTCTTATTATCTGCTAGATATTCTTCCACACATTCCAGAGATAATATTTTGTTCAGAATCAGAAAGTCCTCATATGAAAGTGTAGATCAGGTCTTCAAAGACATATTTCGTGCGGGATGGTACCAACAAGCCACATTGGCAAGAGTGATTATCAAATTCGTGATCAGCATCAAATATAACCCCTAAAAAGCGGTGTCAGTAAATAGTGAGCTAAAAGCTTTTAGATTCAATGTGAGATTTATTAGGAGTCAATCTGTGAAGAAATATTTTGTGCACATCCCCTTGTGCCTATGAAAACATATCAGTGTAATAAATTAACACAAGTAGTAATAGCAAAAGTAACTAACTGCTTTCGTCCTCCATGGTGGACCTCCTTTTCAAACCTGGTCAAATCAGAAACTTCTCATCTGAAAGTGTAGATCAGGTCTTCAGGGACATGTTTCCTATGGGACGGCACAAGGAAGCCACATGGACAAGAGCGAATATCAGATTCGTGATCAACATCAAACTAAAAATCAATATTTCATCAATATTGAAATGAAGGTTATCTGGAAAGATTCCCTCGGAAAAGACCTCAAATTCATTCTATACAATACAAAAACAAGATAACATCAGAAGCTTTTGTCGACAAAAACTGAAGGACGATCCTTTAATTGATTCGATTTTTCCAAATTCAACGGAACATAATGAATTTTGCACAAATTCTATTTTAATTATAATAGAAAATCTCCATTTTTTTTGTTCTTGTTAGAAGAAAAAAAATGAAGAAAAAAAAAATGACAAAAACGTTGCGTTTTTATTACAGTGTGATAAATAAAATACGATAAAGTTTCAATAGTTGAAGCAATAATAATAATTATTTTGAATAACGTATGACATCAGTTAATTGTACAAAATAACCATCATTATATTCTTCAATTTTCGTTGAAGCTATTTGAGGAAAACGAATTTGATATATAATTTTAATTACATCCGGCCAATTAAATCTTGACGGTTGTTTTCCTCCACCCAATTGTTGCTGTGAATTATTAAATAGATAGTTAGCTAGATTTGTTAGAAGACGTTGACGTTCTATCAGTTGATCTTGAGGTGTTTGAAAACGAGCATCATTAGCAGTATTGAACAATAGTTCATATAATGAGTGTGGAATATCTTGATGACCAAATTGGAGAAATAGAGGACGTAGCTGAGTTTGTATTTGTATTAATTGTTGTTCACGATCTAAAAATATCAATTCAAAATTAATTAAATACTTTTTTTTAATCGAGTAGTAATAAATCACTGTTGCATAGAGATAGATGTATAAGAAGTTCCTTTCAAATTTCAAGAATATGACTCTAAAAATTTTACCAGATGCTAATAAAATCTACTATACGAATAAATACACACTTTCTCAAATCAAATCTAAACAAAAATAGTAACATCTGATATCCCTAACGTAAACATATGACAAGAGAAATTATTCTTATAAGAATAATAAAAGCCATATCTTCGAACTGATAAGACAAAAATGGATGAAAAAAATATATATATTTACTTAGTCCTGTTAAATTGATTGTTGTACTTGTTGATGTCGTTGTTGCTTGGCTTTCTAAATGATGAAATATTTTTAGTGTTTGAATTTATTTCTTAACATCGTATTTGCATATGTTTGATATTGTATAATGCTAAATTGTTTTATTATACGTTTATGCGATACCAAAACATATTCGTGCACTTGTCGAATAACGATCATACATAATCATGCTATTGCTATCATTACCAATTTATATTTTCTTTGATAATAATTTATAAGATAAATGCCATGCACTAATAGTAAGCATATAAAAGAAAAGTAACAGTACAATACATGCAACAACTAGACATAACACAAACTGTTTCTGTACTCTCGATTTAGATAGTAAAAAGACCTTCTGTTAAATGAAAGAAAACATTATTGTGAAAAATTTATTGCTTCTAACTGTGAAAAGTCATATTTGTTTACTTAACTAAATTACAGTACAGTACCCTATACTAAACTATCCTTTGACGTGTAATACAAGTTAGAATTGTGAAAAAATAGTTAATGTGGTATGGTAATCATATGTCATCTTCCAGCTTCCAGTTATTATTGACAACTTCTGTCTTCTTGAGTTATCTGTAGTAACATATGTTTAAGTCTTGAACCAGAAAGAAACTAACAAACGAGTGAGTCATCATTAGAAAGGCGTTATTTTGGCCATTTCCCTATAAATTTGACGTCTTCGTTCTTACTACATATCTGGACTTGAAATTCAGAAGAAGCGTCCTGATATGTCCGTAGAATATTTACACAGAGTGTCATCATTGTCTGTCATTTGTGTTACATAGAACAGATAGTTTTGTAAAGGATTGTCGACTCTCAACCTCATCTCATACTATTACTCACTATGATGCGTTGCATGCTGATAAAAATTAGACAACAAAGATCACAGCAAATTCGCCCAGTACTCTAAAAACTTCTTAAATACATACTCAAAATTGTCACATTGAATATCATTTGTTGCTGTCGAATTTTATGTTTAACTGTGGCCACGTATTTTCCGGCATCATCAGCTTGAGCATTTTTCAATAATAAGCGATGTAGACCATTTCCATTATTTTCCAATATTAAACGATCACTTAATTTAATTTCTATACCATCTTTTGTCCAAACAACTGGTGGCAATGGTGTACCATTCGCTGTGCATTCCATTGTACATGAACCACCTTGTTGAACGTTAATATCAACGGGTTTAGAAGAAATATCAGAAACATCTAAAAAATGCATCAATAGATCATAAAATATACAATATATCTTCGATACTTACCCATGACAGTAACATTGCTGATCAATTCTGTTTTTCCCATTTGTGATTCTACAACAGCCTTGTATACTCCATTATCTGACAATTCAGCATTCAATATTTTTAACACATGTATTGGTCCGTCATCAATCATCACCACTCGATCTTTTTTAGGATGTAACAGTTGATCATTATGATACCAGACACACGAAGGTAATGGACTACCATTTGCTGTGACAGTTATTGTTACCTCCTGTCCGCGCGAAATTTCGAAATCTTGTAATTTTTGTTGAGTGATTGTTGGTGCTAATTAATACAAAAGAATTGACTTGTACTTAACTGCAAAAAATATAAAATGATATTAAAAAAACACATACGAAGTACATCGATCGTAATCGTAGCTGTATGTGTTCCATATTGATTTTCAATTTTACACTCATAAACACCACTATGTTTCATTGTTGAATTTGAGATGATCAAGGATGAAAACCCGGTGGTTTGATCAACTTTAATTTCATAACCATCTTTCATCGAAAGTGCTTTACCATCACGAAGCCTAAAATATGATACGATCAACTGACATAGTCTACATGAACCCTGAGCGAAAAGTAATCAGCATTTTACCATGAAACTTTTGGTGTTGGATGTCCAGTTGCGCGAACCTCAATGGTTAATTTTTCACCAGTTTTAACTGTGATGAATTGAGGTAAAGCTTGAGTGAATTGTGGAGCTTCTACAAAATAGAATAAAAGTTAGAAACTATTATTAAAGATACTAAAATAAGAAACGCCTACGTTGAGCAGTGACTCGAATCTTTTTTGTTTTTATAATTCCACCTCCATTCTGTATGATTGCTTGATACTCGCCGGCAAATCGTGCATCAAACGAACGAAACACAAGTCGATATGTTTCTTCTGTTTCAATAATTTCTATACGCTCTGTCATAGAGGTATGTATTTCTTGACCGTTAAACAACCATTGTACTTGTGGACGTGGCTTTCCACCTGCTTTTATCTCTAAAAAGAATTCTTCACCCACTTTAGCTGAATTGGCTGCCGGTGAATCATTCAAATCGGCTAAGAGTTGTGGTTTGACTTCTTTAACATTTACATTTGTATTACATTCCAAATTACCACCTTTATTTTGTACTTTGAGCGTGTAATTGCCCTTATCTTCAGGCTTTAAGTTATCAATAGTTAATGTATAAAGCCCATTTTCTTCAACTATATGAAGTCGTTGATTAACTTTAATTTCGATCGAATCTTTGTACCAACTAACGTGATTGTTTTCACCACTGACTTTCATCTGAATTGTCGCTGTCTCACCTACATTAAATGTCATGTTTGGTTCAAGTTTCGATTCTAATTTTGGTTTGGTATGAACATTTAGCGTAGATTGTGATGTCACTTTTTCGATACCATTATCAAGTACGACCGAATATTGACCAATATCACTAACATCCAATTTTGAGATGGTCAAGGTGTTCACTTTATTACCGTCTTTGGTTTCGATTTTATGTTTTGGAGAAGATTTGAGCGGTTCACCTTTGAAGAACCATTGGACTTTTGGTTGTGGGACACCTACAAAAACGGCAGTAATAAAATTTATTAAAAGTTTTTGACACTTATGAATACAGCAACGTATCTTACCATCACATTCGACTGTCAACGTTATATTTTCTCCCACCACTCCATCCAGCGTGTCTGGTAGTTTTGATTTTAAGACTAGTGGAGCTGTCACATTAATTTTAACCGGTTCTGTCTCTACTTTTCCCAATTTATTTTTCGCCACTAAATTATAAGTTCCTTGATCTACTTCTGTCACATCAGTCACCATCAATCGACAAATATTTGTTTTTTCATCATAGGTAATTTGTGTTTTTGCATTTGGTTTTACTTCTTTGCCATCTTTCATCCAAACACACTCGGGTCTTGGTCGACCATCGACTACGTATTCCATTATCAACGTATCATGAACTCTTAAATCAGTTTTAATTGGTGTTTTAGATGGTTTTATTCGAGGTTCATCCACAGTAGTCACAACGACATTAGAGTCCACTTGACCGAGCGAATTTTGCATTCTAATCTTATATTGACCTTCATCGTCCGGGCGAACATTTTTTATGCGGATTTCGTACGTATCCGTGGTTGTTTGAGCGATTTCATAGTGGGCAGTATTTTGTGCTACATTAATTTCAACTTCATTCTTGAATAAATGAACAGTGGGTTTTGGTGTTCCCAAACATTTAAAGCTAATAATTGCATCTTGATTCAAATGAGCTTCACATGTTGCATTTGGTTTTTGCAGTAATTGTGGTGCCGTTTGAACATTCAGTTGAACAGTCTCTTCCACGGCGGGGCCAGCAGGATTCTCTAATCTAACTGTCAATGGACCACTGTGTTTCGTGTGAGCATTCGGGATAATAATTTGGCTCTTTCCAGTAGTTGTATCCGTTTTCACTTCATATCCATCTTTTGGACTTACTGGTTTACCGTCTTTAATCCACGTTACTTTTGGAGTTGGATGTCCATCGAATTCACACTCGAACATGGCAGTTTCACCTTCTTTCACAGTCACTACAGGTTGGGGTTTTTTCTTTAATTCAGCTGGTGTTTGAACAGTAACTTTAATTTTTTTGGATTTCAATTGTCCAGCTTGGTTTGAAATAACCGCTTGATATTCTCCACTATCTTTGGGCTGTGGACGTTTGATCAACAATGTATACGTTTCTTCTTCTTCAATAACCTCATATTCTTCTTCTACGGTAGTGGTAATTTCTTCACCATCTTTATACCATTGCACTTTAGGTTTTGTACCTGATGCTTTGACGGTGAGTCGTATAGGCTCACTTGATGTAGTAACAATATCTTTGAGTAAGTCGGTCTTTAATGTGGGTTTGATGAGATTAACATTTAAATTCATTTTGACTTCAGTTGTGCCACCAATGTTAGTGGCAACGCATGTGTAAGAAGCTTTATCAGTAAGTTCGGTTGTTTTGAATACAAGTGAATAAGTGTCATTTTCTTCAACAGGTGTGACATTGGCCGATGGTTGAAGCGGGACACCATCCTTTAGCCTATAGCAAAGAAAATAGGATGGTGTTATTTGTTTCCTCTTTCACGAAAACTGCGCATACCATGTCACTTTCGGGGCTGGAGTACCGCTTATTTTACATTGTAGTTTTGCCGGTTCACCAATGTTACAATTGACGTCTGCAGGTTTTCCTGAAATACTCAACACGGACTTTTTGTAAAACATAACTAACTCGGATGGAAACTACAGTATTTACCTTCTACTTTTGGTTTAACACAAACATCTAATTTAGCCTTTCCATTGATCGTTTCAATTCCATTATCAATAACAACTTCATAAACACCCGTATCATTAATATCAGCTTTTGGTATCGTTAGTTTATAAGTATTTCCTTTGGTTTCCAATTTAACTTTTTGTGATGGTGTTATTTCATGTCCATTACACAACCTAAAAATGAAAAATATAATACGATTCAATTTTGGCCATAAGAGAAATAACATGCCATTTGACAGTCGGCTTTGGTACACCTTCACATTCGACTTCTAATGTAACACTATTTCCAGCCTGTGCGACAGTATCTTTTAGTGGTGTATTAAATTTCAATGGTGATGTGACATTTAATTGTGCTTGAGCTTCTTTTGTTTGTAATTTATTTTTACATATAACTTTGTATGTTCCCTTGTCTTCTGGTATGGCATTAGGAATGAGTAATGTACATGTACCATCAGGTTTTTTCGTTATTTCAATACGATCCGACGGTTTTAGTTCTTTACCATCTTTTGTCCAGGTTACTTCTAAATAATACAACCAAAAGTATATAATTGATAAGACGAGAAAATTATGAAAAAAATACCTGGTTGGGGTCTACCATTGACATGACATTCTAGTTTAATTGGTTTACCCACTTGTATTGTTTGATCTTTGAAATCGCAAACTAAATCTGTCGGCTCAACAACTGTTAATTTTGCTTGTGTTTCTTTTTCACCTAACGAGTTACTAACAACACACTTGTACGTTGCTTCATCATCCACTGTGGCATTTAACAAATTCAATTCGTATGTTTCATCGTTCACCTTAACTAATTTCACATGTTTCTGATCATCTTTAAGTTCAACGTTATTTTTAAACCATTTTATTGTGGGTAATGGACTTGATGCAGCATTAACGGTCAATTTGACATCTTTACCTAATAAGCATTCTTGATCAGTCAATGGTTTGGTAATGTTAGGAGCACATGTGACGTTGAGTTTAAACGCGGTTTCTGTTGCGCCAGCCGAATTGTCTAATTTTAAGGTGAATTGACCAGCTTGATCAACGCGAGCATTTTTCACAGTAAAAACGAGCTGTTGTGTCGCTTGATCGAATGTTTGTTCAATACCATCTTTAGGTGTGAGTGGTTTCCCATCTTTGAGTAACGTTACTTTAGCCAATGGTAATGCATCGACTTGGCAACTGACTGTGGCAGTTTCTCCTTGCTTCACAGTGGTATCCGTTGGTTTTGTAACAAATTCAGGAGATTCTAAAGAAAATGATATTAGTACTTTTGAAAGAAACTGTTACAAAAAGCCTACAAGAAATGAATTTTTTATGTTGATACTTGTGAACTTACTTGTAACTGTGACATTCGTCTTTTTTGACTTGACTTGTCCACCTGGATTTTGTATAACAGCACTGTATTCTCCAATATCCTTTTCTGCTGCTTTTTTTACAATCAATTTATACGTGTTATCTCCTTCTTCTACACACTCAATGCCGTTGTCTTTGTTAGGAACAATCTCTTCAGTACCTTTGAACCATTTCACTGTTGGTTTTGGTTTTCCATCTGCTTGCAAAGTCAAGACCAACGGTTCCCCTTTGGTAACATTCAATGTTGGTAGTAGATCCGTTTTCACTTTAGGTAATATAGCAGTGACGTTCAAATTTAATTTTGGCGATTCTATTTCACCGGCTTTATTCGTCGCTTTTAAGGTATAAGCTGCTTTATCGTCCAAAACCGCGTTGTTGATGACTAGTGAATATTGATCATCTTTCTCTATTGCTTGAATTCGTTTATTGTCGACATTAACTGGGACACCATTTTTCAACCATTCTACCTTGGGCTTCGGTACGCCGGATAGTTTGACGGACAGTATCGCTTGTTCGTCGATGACGACATTGGTATCTTGTGGTTTTGATTCAATTTTTGGTTTCATAACAACATCGACAAGACATGAAGTCGACGTTGTACCATCTTTATTTGTTGCAACAACTTTAAACTGACCACCATCGGTGAGATCAACGCGATTTACGGTTAAAGTTTGAGTGCCATCGGGTTTAGATTCGATTTTTTGTTTTGTAGATGATTTGATTTCAATATCATTTTGAAACCATTGAATAGTGGGTTTGGGGATGCCTTGACACCGACAAGTGAGAGTCAGATTTTGACCACTAACAATATCAGTGTCTTTTAGTTTATCAAGAAATTGTAGTGGAGCTAAATAGAACAAAGACAGGTTAGACAATAACTTGTTGATACACGTTTTTAGCAAAACAAAAAATACAAAAAAAATATAAAATAATCCTACCAGTTACAACCAATGAAGTTTGTTCTTCGGTTGTGGATGCTGGGTTTTTAGCTCGAACGGTATATTTGCCTTGGTCTTCTTCTTTCACATCGGAAATAATCAGTCGAACTTTATCTCCATCATGTTCGATGCGATAACGTTGTTTATCATCTAACGTTGTAACATCTTTCTTATCTTTTAAGAATGTGATTTCTGGTCGTGGATGGCCACTGACTTTACACGCTATAACAACTTCATTACCAGCAACAGCTTCTATTTTAGGTGGTAATGAATCGATAACTGGTGGTACTGTTAATAAAAAAGGATAGAATCATTTCAAAATTGAGTACAACTCTGGTAGTGCATTAAACACTTATCAAATACCATGTAGAAAACATGATAGTCATTTATACAAGTTAAAAAACCACGCTCACTTTCAAAAAACTATAGGAAAGGCCTTTTCAAGAAACAATATGCAGAAATAATTGCCGTTTAAAGCGCTACAAACAAGTACCACTAGTAATAATCAATTAGACTCTTGAAAAAACACGTTGAAGGTGCCTCATATAATACTGAGTAACTAAGCCAATTATTCGATAATTTAAACGCTGTTTTAGATGATTAGTGCGATATTCAATGTAGAACAAATTACTTACCATGTACATTCAATTTTGCTTCTGATGTAGTTGTTCCTTCTGAATTTGTCAAAACAACTTTGAATTTTCCTTCATCTGTCAATTTAGCGCCTTTGATTTTCAACTCAAACACGTTATCTTTTTGTACCATTTGGTAATGTTGATCATTCGTTGGAATCGGTTTATCATTAAAATACCATTGAGGTTTAGGTGTCGGATTGCCACTGGACTCTACGGTCAAAACAGTGTCTTGGCCCATAATGACACTTTCATCTTTTAACTGTTTAGTGACTTGTGGAGCAAGTTTCACGTCTAATTTCACATCATGTGTAATTTTACCCGCTGCATTTTCAACTTGACAGGTCACGACACCTGCATGTTTATCAGCATCCGTTTTCTTGATTGTAAATGTGGCTGTTTGAGTATTCGAATCAAAATTGACTGCGAAATCAGCGTTAGGTTGTACAGGTTTTCCATTCAATAGCCATGTGACTTTTGGTACCGGAAAACCAGACAGTTTTGCTTCAAATGTCGCCTCTTTACCCGTGCTGACAGACTGATTGTCAGGTGCTTTCAAGAAAACAGGTATCTGTTGTACGGTTACTTTAGCTTTTTTCGTTTTAACAACGCCTGCTGGATTTTCAACTGACGCTTGGTATTCTCCTTGATCAGTTATTTGTGCTTTGGGTACACGGAAAACAGCTGTCAATTGATTATCACGTTCTTCCATGAGAACAGGACCAACTTCAACACCATCTTTGAAAAATTTAACGGTAGGAGCAGGACGACCATCAACAGCAAGACGATAAACGAGTTCATCACCAACATTGATTGTCTGCGGTTCAAGATCATTTTTAAGGGTTGGCTTGACTTCTGAAAAGAGTGTATCAGAATAAAGATCAACAAAAGAACGCTCTCATATGATGATTTTTATGTTAAACTCTAGTGATCGATTCTTACATAAGAAGTCCGCACGAAAGTGACAAGAATTCGATAAAAACTAGATAAGAATCAGTTAAGAATCCTATAAGAATTTGTCAAGAAAAGGGCAAGAACTGACAAAAATTTCCAATATTTTTTTTCCTTCTTTAGTTAGCTGTATAGTTCATTAGTGAGTGTGTAAAAGTTCGCGAAGCATTTTCAAAACGACCAGTCTTACCTACCTTGAAGAAACTTTGAAAAAATTTCCAAGAAATCAGTGGTGCTTATATAGTATGTGCGTCTGCAAAATAAAACGGTATTTGCCTTTTAATAAGAATTTCATAAGGAAGTGATAGGAGCGTTTTATCGAAGTCCTAGCTCATTCTTATTTAAATATTACCTGATTCTTATCGGATTCGTACGAAAATCTTGCCATTTTCGTGCGACTTCTTATGTAAGAATCCGATAAGACTCAGATAAGATTCTTACCAGAAATAACGAAAAATGTTTGTCTAGCGAAGTGCAGTTAGTCTTATCAATTTAGACATGTTAATGGCGAAGATCAAATTTGCCACTACCGCAAAAAATTGGATTAGAGTTTTCTTCTAATGATATTATCGAGATTGTCTTACCTTTAACAGCCAAATTAATTTTTGCTTCTACCGAACCGACTTTATTCGTTGCTTTGGCCGTATACGGACCCGAGTCACCGGTTGTACTCTTTTTAATAATCAATGTCGATAGTCCGTTTTCATCGGTTGTGATTTGAATGCGATCGTTAGGTACAATTTGTGTACCGTCATTTTTGTGCCATGTAACTACTGGTGCCGGTACAGCTGAGAATTTAGCAGATAGTTTAGCTGTTTCATCGATCAAACAAGTGACATCAGCTGGTTTCGAATCTAATTTTGGTTTAACTGAAAAAAAAAGAATTATCGTATAAATATGAACGATATAGTAGTAAATACGAGTAGTCTTATAGTAGGTTTTCACTCAACTTACCGCAAACATCGACATTTGCTTTTGTTTCGATTCGTTCTTTTCCATTGTCAGCCACTACTTTATATGTGCCGATATCGGGAAAATCCGCTTTGTTTATGGTCAATGTACTTGTTGTACCTTTTGTATCAACACGAGTTTTTGGATTTGATTTGATTTCTTGATCATTGAAATACCTGATAGACAACTTATATTGTTATCAAGGAAAAGAAATAAGTGAAAAAAGAAAGACAGTCATACCAGGTTAATTTTGGTTTTGGAATGCCGTCACAATCGACTGTTAAGACACCGTTTGAACCTTGGACAACATCCAAATCATTCAGTGCTGTATTAAATTTCAACGGCGCTGAAACCAAGGAAAATGCAATAAATTTTTTATTGTAGTAAACCCGGTACCTTAGTCTCAAAAGCCAAAAGAATTAACGGTAAAGATGATGAATTTCTCGTTCGTTCACATGAATACAGTACTTTAATTTTTGTGTGTATTGAATGTTTTCTGAGAGTTTGACAACGAACACGAGCTATATTATTATTCGATACATGTTTTCATATCAACGGTTATATTGTGAATTAAAAGCAACAATTCACTAAACCACGTGTAACGATGGATATGAAAAAGGTCAGTTGGAGAGATAAACACAGATGACAATTTGGCCGCATTATTCTACTATCGAAGTGAAACGCAAGTTTTCTCCTCTTTCATACTGTCTGAATATTTTGAATAAAGATACACTCAAAGCTTTCCAATATCTCGATTTGTATAATATTTAGCAAGTTTAGTTGTGCTGAGTATTTTAAAACGTTCCTGCACTTTCCACAATCATTTGCAGAAATGAAAACTAAGTTGATATAGTGCCTCTAATATGTCGGTAAATCTGATTAAATTGTGGAGAGTGTAGGAACGTTTAAAAAAATGACTAATTGACTTTACAAATCGATACGGTGGAAAGCTCCGGACAAACCTTTCTTTCAAATATACAGAGAATACAAAATGGAAAAAAAACGACAGACTTCTACCCGGTATTAGAGCTATCGATAAGGAAAAAAACTGGTTATTATTATTGTTAGAGAAGTGATTAATCAACCAGACTAGCGAAAAGAAAAATTTGAACATAAATCATCTTACCTGTTATCTTAATGTTTGCTGTTGAATCAGTTTTGGCCACTTTATTTTTAACCGATAATGTATACGCTCCTAAATCTTCTTCTTTGACATCGGTTATAATCAACTGGCATTCATCTTGTGGTGTACGAGTTATTTTTATTCGGTCATTGGGCTGCAAAGGTTGATTATTTTTCAACCATTGAACATCGACTTTTGGACGACCAAATACATTAGACTTCAAGGTGAGCGTTTGGTGTAAAACAACTTCTTGATCTGTTAATTGTGGTTCGATTCGAGGAGTTTCTGAACAAACCAAAAAGAGTCCACATACACAGAGTTCAGAAGAGTCAACTAGTCCGTACACATACCAAGTACTTTGAGGTTGACATTGGCATCTGTTTCACCTAGTGCATTTTTTACTTTAATTTTTACTGGTAATTCGTCTGCCGGTGTTACGTCATGAATAATCAGTTTGTGTGTTGATGGACCATCTTCTAAGATTTCATATTTTGGTGATGCTTTGATAGGTTTATCCCCGTGAAACCTACAAATAGCAATATAGTGTAAATTTCATAATGAACTTTAATCTTGCTTAAAAATAAAGCAGAAAAATCCTGTTATTTAACATATGAAAACTTCTCTGCTCACCATTCCACTTGTGGCTTAGGGGATCCGGTTACATCGATCGTGAATACGGCATCAGTGTGAAGTAACGCCTCTGTATCAGTTGGTTTCTTTGTAATCTTTGGAGCAGCTACGACATTAGAAAAAATTGTGATTTACCATTTAAACCCGTTTATTGAAACTTACTCTTTACTGAACATTGTACAGTTTCTTCAATAGCTCCCGTTGGGTTTTCAGCTTTCACTGTTATTTTTCCCATATGTTTTGGTTGTGCGTTTTTGATAGCTAACACTGATGTACCCGTTGCTTGATCTGTCTGTACTTCGAAACCATCTTTTGGACTTATTGGTTTACCGTCGAATAACCTAAATATGCGTTTATTCTTTCATTGCATTATTTAAGTAATAACACGCAATATATACCGACCATGTTATCTTAGCACTAGGATATGAATCGACTTTACAACGAAATTCCGCCAATTCATTTTCAGTCACATTCACGGAGGTGGGTTTTTCAAGAAATTCAGGCGTTTCTAAATTTATCAGATAACATTTAAAGAACAAATGAGAAACATGACAAATTACTGGCTTACTTTGTACGGTTAATTTTGCTTTTTTTGATTTTATCGTTGCTCCTGAATTCGTCAGCACTGCTGAATAATCCGCTTGATGTTCTGGTTTACACTGTTTCACTTTCAGCGAATAGGTATCTGTCTTCGCATCCGCTATTATTTCGTAATCTTTATTTGTTGGAAGAATTTCTTCGTCGTTTTTGAACCATTTCAATTGAGGTTTAGGGTTTCCTGTTGCTTTTAATGTAAATGTGGCTGGTTCATCTCGATTTGCCGTAATATTTGTTAAATCATTCAAAATGGTAGGTTTTATTTCTTTGACGGTTAACGATATCTTAGACTCAACTTCACCAACTTTATTAACAGCTTTAGCAATGTAAGCTCCAGTATCGACAAGATCAGTAGTTTTAAATTTCAATATCGATGTACCATCGTCTAACTCGACAATATCGATGTTGGCATTTGGTTTAATCGGTGTATTATCTTTTTCTTTGTACCTAGAACAATATACTTTATATTCAAAAGTGTCACATTATTAAGAGGTTGCTGTACATACCAGGTAACTTGTGGTTTTGGTATTGCACTAAATTTCGTTTTTAGTTCAGCACCTTCGCCTATGGTTGTGGTCACATCCGTTACTTTTCCTTCAACCTTTGGTTTAGCTAAAAACAGTAAATGTACAGAAACGTTGATTAGTTAAAATAAGTGCAATTTTAGCTTACTGCAAACAGATACATGCGCTTTTGTTTCAACTGTTCCATCAGGATTAGTGGCTACTGCTTTGTAAATACCATCGTCTGGTAAATCAATTTTATTTAATGTTAACGTATGTGTATTGCCCTTTGACTCCACCTTGGATTTTGGAGTATTCTTTAATTCTTGATCATTAAAATACCTTCAAAACAAAATTCATTATCTACTGTGTATAATGTGAAAATAATTCGATAGTTAATCATACCATTTTACAGTTGGTTTTGGTATTCCATTTGTTTCTACTTGAAGAATCACATTAGATTGTGATAGCACATCTTGATCTTTTAATGGCTGAGTGAATTCTAATGGTGCTTTCACTGTGACATTTGAATTGATTTCTTTTTTTCCACACTTGTTTTTGGCCACCAATGTATATTTTGATTGATTATCCGTTTCATCTACATTCTTGATGACTAATTCACATTTACCACCGTTTTTATCATCTGGCATCGTTATGATATGACGATCATCTCCCTTGAATTCTTTTCCGTTTTTCAACCATGTCAACTGAGCTTTTGGTTGACCACCAATAAGTTTACATGTCAAATGAACATCAGTACCCACCGGTGCTATAACGTCTCCAAATGGTTTATCGATTACCGGTTCTTCTAGCACGGCAAGTGCTGCTTGACTTTCAACACGTCCTAATGGATTTTCAGCCAAAATTTTATATTTTCCTTCATCATTAAGTTTAGCATCTTTGATGATCAGTATTTGAGAATTGCCTTCGGTTTGAATGATATGTGTGGCATCGGGTTTGACAGGTTGATCGTCTTTGGTCCATACTATTTTTGGTTGAGGACTGCCCGTAACTTCGGCAACAAAACGAATCTCATTATTCACCATCACTTCTTGATCAACTAATTTTTTCGTAATAACAGGTAAAGCTAAGAGAAGACAAAAGAGAAAAATGTATCAGAATTGTTTTTTAGACGTCAGAAGGGTAGCTTAGTGTTATTCAGTTTTAACTTTACCAAAAATATTCTTACCTTGCACATCGAGAGACACTTGAGCATCTACTGTTCCAGCTGCATTTTCTACCCTGCATACAAGTTCACCAGCTTGTTTTGTTGTGTTTGCCTTGTGTTTCAATGTTATTTGACCTGTTTTAGCATCAAACTGACTCTCGAAGCCAAGATCTGGTGTCAATGGTTTTCCGCCACGTAACCTAAAATAAATGAGATCAATAATAATTTACGATAAAGAGAATTTATTGCATATTTTCACGCGAGAAAAACTCGTTTCTCTGCCGCACTTACCAGGTAACTTTCGGTTGCGGATATGCGTCTACCTGAGCATCGAAAACCACCGGTTGTCCTTCTTTAACGGTTTGATTCGTTGGTTTTTTGATAAATTCTGGCGCCTTTTGCACGGTGACTTTGGATTTCTTCGACTTGACTTGTCCACCAGGATTTGTTGCTTGACACGAATACTCGGCTTGATGCTCCGGTTGACATGATGGCACAGTCAACGTATACGTTTGCTTATTATCAAATGTGATTTGATAATCCTTATTTGTTGGAAGAATTTCATCATTTCCTTTGAACCATTTGACAGTTGGTGTCGGTATGCCGGTAATTTGAGCTTGTAAAACTAACGGTTTGTTTTTGTCAACTGTTTGCTGTTCATTCAAATCTTGAACAATAGTTGGCTTAATACAGTTGACATTGAGGTTAATTTTTGCTTCAGTTTCACCAAAACGATTTTTTGCTTTGCATGTATAAGTAGATTTATCATCTAGTTGAGAGCGATTGATGTGTAGTGAATGAACATTTGGTTTATCTTCACGCACTTCAATGCGTTTATCAGGTGTGGAAGTTAAAGGAACATTGTCTTTAAACCAGGTAACATCAGGTTTTGGAAATCCGGAAAATGTACATTCCAAAACAGCTGGTTGTTCGACGTTCACTGTTTGATCAGCTGGTTTACCTTCAACTTTTGGCTTACCTATAAGTAAAGAAATGATTACTTGATAACCAGTGTTCATAACTGTTTAAGAGTATAAATTTTAGTCAAACATGTATGTACGTTATGTACGTTAACGAACGACTTTAAATGAATTTACATACTTCCAACAACCAAATTTGCTTGTGTTTCTACAGGTTTTCCGGTGCCATTATCAGCGACAGCTTTGTAGATTCCTAACAGACGACACATAAGTGTGTAAAATAATAAACATATGAAACTCTTTCTTTCTGACTTACCAGCATCGGTCTGATCAGCTCGTGTGACTGTCAATGTATGCACATTTCCTGTGCTTCCAATCGTTTGTTTTTGAGTCGATTTTAACTCAATATCATTGAAATACCTAAAATTTCATTTCAGAGACTATCACTCGAAAAAGAAGATGACAACGATATTGGTATTGCAGTTAACTGAGGCTGAATATCTATGAAACTTATAAAATAATATTTAATTTGAACATTAGAAACAATCTTTTAAAGTAATCAAATGAGTTTCTTGATGTCAAACAAAAAATCAAATACATATTGCAATATGTGTATCGATATATCGCTATCGCTTCGCTAATAATCAACTATAATGATTATGTAAGCGGTTTGAACTCGAATATTCCAAGCGATCCTCTTACGTCTTGTATGGTTAGAATAAAGTTATGCAACGATTTTCTCGGCTGAGTTACTCGCTCAACCGATAACCGCAATAAATTTTAATGCAATCAAGAGCAGTTTGTGACATCTTCAGATAATAAATAACCACTCTTAACTCGATTTTTTAAATGGGATTTCTATTTATTATAACTACGTATCTACGAAATATTTGTTACCAGGGTAAGTTGGCTCCGTAAAAATTGTTCAAATCTGAGACATGAAGCGGTTCACTGGCTTTTCCGCGAAGTTTCGTTACTAGAAGTTTAGAAAAACTTTTAGGTTCTCTTGATACACTAAAGGAATAAATCGTACAGTGTTTTCTGTGAAACAACTTCCTATGTCATCTTTCATTCCAATTTCCTTTCAACTACTACCACTGATTTGATGCTATATCAAGCAGTTACCTTTACTAAGAAACTGTTTTTCGAACTCACTCTCACACTGCTTTCACACACAATCGCCTAACAAATTGCATTGATTGATAATTATCTGATAAATTAATAGAACAAATGAATAGACAAATGAGTCTATATTACATCAGTCTTCATTAATTGTTTTCGATATTAAGATGGATCACATAAACGAAAAACATAACTGTTCAGAATTTAATCATATTACAAGAGAAGGACAAAAGCCTTGTTCACGGACAGAGTCACTGCGCAGAAGTCATAACAAAACATGTTCAATATATTTCACACGACGAATAGCGTTTGAATTTGTGATGAAAATAACACATTACGTCCGATATAACAATTTACATCTATCCCTCAATTATCTTTAATATTATTCTAGAAACGTGAACAAATTCAATTTTGGGCTTGCTAACGATCAATTATTCAGTAAATCAGTAATCAAAATTCATGTTCAAAAAAAAATTAAGATCTTACCATTTAATATTCGCTTTAGGTATTCCTTGTACTTCACATGTAAACGTTGCATTTTGTGTAGTTAGCACGTCTGTATCTTGCAGTAATTTAATAAATTTCAATGGTGCTGTTACTTTTAAATTGCAATCACTTTGACTGGTACCAGCTTTATTTTTTGCCACACAAGAATATTGTCCATGATCATCTTCCTGTACATCTTTGATGATCAATTTCGCATTTCCATCTTTATCCAATGGTATAAAGGAATATTTCTTATCATCCGGTTTGATTTCTTTGCCATGTTTGAGCCAAGTCAACGTCGGTTGTGGTGTGCCACTCACTTTAATCGTTAATTCAGTGTTCTCCTTAGCTATCGCTGTTTTATCTTGTAAACCGTTAATAAATTCTGGTGGAACATTAACGTTTAATTTTGCTTTTGTTTCAACTTGACCCAAATCGTTTGTTGCTTGAGCACTATAAATACCTTCATCTTGTGGTGATGAATTTTTAATAACAAGTTTGTGACTATTAGTTTTTTCATCAAATGATACCAAATGTTTGGTTGGTGATGGTACAATCGGTTTTCCATCTTTAAACCATTTGACATTTGCTGTTGGTGATGCTGTAAATTCACAGGTGAAAGTCGCATCTTGAGTGGACATAACTTCAATATCCGTTAACGGTTTAGCGACGACCGGTGCTGAACGAACATTGATGGATGTTGCTTCTTCCGCTGTACCAGCTGTATTTTCTGCACGAACAGTGAATGGACCAGCATGCTTCGTGGTGACGTTTTTGGCGATAAGAGTAGCAATGCCAGTCTTGGAATCAAAACTTGTTTCAAAACCGTCTTTAGCCGATAATGGTTTGCCACCTTGCAACCTAAAGAAGAGAAAAAAACGAACTTCACCTCTGAACCTCACTAGATAAACTTGCTCACAAACCAGGTGACTTTAGCAATTGGAAATGAGTCGATCTGACATTCAATTTTTGCTTGTTCCGTTTGATTAACGGTCACCGGTTGTGGTTTTTTAATAAATTGTGGAGCTTTCTGAATTGTAACTTTTGATTTTTTTGATTTGATTAAACCAGCTACATTTGACAATTGGCATTGATATTCAGCAATGTCTTCCTGTGTGGCATTTTTAATAATGAGAGAATATTCTCCCGTTTTCCGATCTTCTTTGAATAAAATGCGCCCATCACCAGTGCTCATCTCATTATTGTTTTTGAACCATTTACATTCAGGATGAGGATTACCCGTACCCGTTACAGACAGTATAAGATCTTCACCTTTTGTACCAACATACGTGGTTTCTAGATCTTTAGTTATCGCCGGCTTTATCGCTGAAAAAGCAAAAAAAAGGTGAGAAATGCAGTTATATTATTTTTGCTAAACTTACGTTTTATTGTTAATGTTGCTTTTCCTTCAGCCTCTCCTGCTTTACTAACAGCTTTAACCGAATAAACTGCTTTATCTTCCATTACTGTGTCACGTACTGTCAGCACAGACACATTATTTGACTCTTCAGTAATTGTATAGCGATCACCAGTTTTAAGTGGTTGGCCATCCTTGTACCAAGTTAATGTGGGTAGTGGAGTACCAGAAAACTGGCAAACTAATCGAGCACTTTCACCAATATTAACAGCAACATCAGCCAATTTATCAATTTTAGGTTTAACTAGAAATAAAAATGTAAAAAGAATGTTTTCTTGCTAGAAGAAAATAACAAATGATTTTTTTCTAATAAAAACATTATTTTCCACAAATCTGAATGTGATTTAATGCATGTAAACTATTTACCACAAACTGTTACATTGGCTGTTGCTTGTACTTTATCAACCGCATTTTCAGCTACCACTGTGTAAGCGCCTTGATCGTTCATGTCACCTTTTTGTATGGTCAATGTATAAACGTCTTTTTTGGCATCAGCCTGATATTTTTGATTGCTTTTTATCGCATTTCCTTTGTAAAACCAAGTGACAGTTGGTTTCGGCAAACCAATAATTTCGGCCGTGAGAGTGACACTTTGTGTGACAGGTAACATAGCATCAGTTGGTGGTTTGATAATTTGAGGTGGACCTAGATAAAAAGATTTTAATTAACTGTAATACGGCCTATTCATTCTCTTTTCATGCATGTTGAAGAAACTGTCCATGTCGTGGAAAAACCACTTCACAAAAAAAAGAGTTGACACTGCTAAACCGATATAAAAGTGAAACTAGCTACATCTATGAAAATAAACTACTTAATAACAAAACTAGGTGTTGAAAATCCGATCTTATACTACTTATTTCTACAGGTAATAGGTTTGTGATCATGCAAAGGTGACCTGTAGAAAAGCCAGTGCCTGTATTCAACGTTTTCTTGAAACGCACAGAGTTGTGCAGCATACCATTTGGTAGAAAAATGTTCAGCGTATGTTTTCATACATAGATGAGAACCAGTCGAATAAAACTATAGGCGTTACATACTAGGTTTTTCGAAATACTATGTTCTTTTTCTTGTAACAGAAAACCATCTTTTTTAAATAATTCTTCAACTAGACAAAATTTTAATGTTAAGCTTAATTGAAGAGATAATACTTAAACATCTTCTTACCTAAAACTTCGACGTGTCCCTCTGTTTGCTGCTCAGCGAAACGTGCGGTGTATACACCCTTATCCTTATCTTCTGATTTCGGAATAATTAATTTATGAACTAAACCGTCGACAACATATTTCACGGGTTCTTTGATGTCCAATGGTTTTCCATCTTTGAGCCATTCTAATTTGACATTTGGTTTATTCACTGAACATTGTAATTCAAGTTTATCGCCACGTTTAACTTTAACATTTTTCAATTTATCCGTAAAATCAAATGGTTCCTCTAAAAGTGACAAAGAACCAGTTTTAGGCAATATCTGAATAAATCATGTCGAATTCTTCTTCTTGTTAAGGTACCTTTAACAAACAATTTTGCTGCTGATTTTGTTGCTTGATCTAATTCACATGTAATTCCGGCATCATTTTCATTTAGCTGACAATCTTTCAATACAAGACGTCTTGTTTTTCCAATTGATAATACTTGACCTTTTGTTGGTGGTATGGGTTTGTCGTTCATGTACCATGTGACAGGCGCAGCATCTTCTGATACGTTACACTCAAATGCCGCATTCTTTCCTTCGAATACAGTTACATTTTGCAATGGTTTTGTAAATATGACCTAAAATTAAAAATAATCTAGTTGGTATAAGAGATCATGACAAGTTGAAAATATACCATTCCCAGTCGGCTTGGTCGACGATCTTTTCCAGTGCCTAATTTCGAAGGACCTAACATTCGACCATCATCGCCTTGGGCACCATCGCTAGCATCCGTTCCAGAACGAGAACGACGGCCACGCATGTCCGATGGACCTAGACCTAATAGATCACCCTAAATAATGACAAAGGACAGGTTAAAATGATAGAAAAAAGTCAAAGAGAAATATTACATAAGAATAAAACGTTCAAAAGAGATTTACTACCATGAAATGTTTAGTGTAACGTGTTATCTTCTCATGTAAATATTTGCGTTCAAACGCGTTTGAGACACTAAATTTTTACACGGATTATAGTACATATGACCTTCAACACCGACAATCAATCAAAATTGATCCAGTGACATATAAACTTCAAAATATTGTATAATCAGTTTAGGATGCTTTACCTGCTGCTACTGTTTAAACTGTGAAATGTTTTGGACACTCCAGAAAACATGCAAAAAATCCAGCATTTTAAGTAGAATTTAAAAAAGACAAGATGAATCAAAAGAGAGGATGTATAACAAAAGAAAAGTCATATATATAACTAACTCAGATACTTCATGAATGAATGTTTGAAAACAGCAAGAGAGAAGGATGATATAGCTAGTCTTGGTTCGAATCTTTCAAAAAATGATTAAGTTCACAATTTCATTGAATAGCGTTTTATAAATTTTTTATTTTTTATAACTCATTCGGAAAAATATTGGCTAACGACAGTGGAAATCTAGTAATCCGGCGATTGCCGGATTTCTTCAACTTACAACTATCGATTTATCTCCCGATAATTGATCGATTTAACTATTGCTAGTTACATACGCAGACGCATCTAGTTAAAAATCCCTTTTCCAACTAGTAATCTAGATGACAACTAGCCGTGTATCGCCCGATTACAGACGAAATGTATCTAGATTTTTCCCATAGGTGATGTTTGCTTGGGAACACTCACCGCTTTTGCTTGGTCATATTGTTTGAGCTGTGCATCACCAGTCTGTTCAAAATGTTTTAATGTATATTGCCATCCTGGATCACCTTCTCTTTTAATGCCTTTGCCCTTCTTTAGTTTACCCCAGTCGGGACCACCTTCAATTTGACGCATTTGTTGTTCACTAAACGGGACCAAATTAAAGAAAACTTTTATTACGCATAATTTAAATATAAATTCATCCGATTCTAACTTTATCCTTAAAACCTATAGTCGGATGCTATTTGCTGTTAGGCTCTATTGCTGTCATCTAGATTTAAATACCATCTGATAATATAAGTACTTCACTTTCTACGGACGTTAATATGCAAACTAGATTCAGTGTAACGAAAACTTAGAAATGAGGTATGCTAATAGTATACTTTATATGAACATTTCCTTATCAACTAGAAAAATTGAATTACACTATGACTCACTAGTTGGCAAAGACGATGTTTCTAATTGGGAAAGCTATGTGACAATGCTTACGTTTTTTTTAGAACACTCTTGTAATCGATAACTTCTGCAGGATTATTGGTAATAAAACATGTTACTGGTTTCATAATTGTATTATGAACATTATGTACTGTTACTGTATACGTGCCCGTATCTTCTTTTGTACAATTTGATATTTCAAAAAAGTGAGCATCAAATTCATCGTCGTAGTACAAGTAATATTTTTGATTACTCGCAAATGACTTTGTTTTGCCTTTAGACCAGTTTACCATCGGATACGGATCACCAGATATACGACAGCCAAATACGGCTGTTTGACCTTCGAGACAAGAAATTTTTTCTGGTGTATCAACAAATGCTGCTTCTTCTCCTTTAACGGTTAACGTGGCTTTTGTTGATTTTTCACCACCTGGGTTTTTAGCCCGACATTCATAGACACCAGTATCGGTCTCTTGAGCATCGCGAATGGTTAAAGTCCACGATGTTGTGCGTGCGTCGAAGACGATGCTAATTCGATCGTTTTCGTCGAATACTTTATTGTCTTTTAACCACGTTAGACGAGGCAAGGGTAAACCACTAACTTTAAGAGAAGTTTTAAGCAGACCGCCAACAGGAAACACAGCATCTGTCAAATCCTTGGTAAAATTCGGTGGCGATAATGCTGCAAAGAAAAAAATGAAGAAATAGTTGGAAGTTCAAAGTTTTGCAATATAAAGAGAAAAACAGTTATCATAAAAACAATACATACGATAAAGTGTCAATTTTCCGGCACATGATGCTTGTCCAAGTGAGTTTGTTGCTGTGCAAGAATATGAACCGGCATCAACTGTTTTTGCTGACGTTATAGTAAACACATACCAGCCATCTTTCAATTCTTTCAATATATAACTATAAATAAAAGTATGAAATTAACTCTATTTAGTGCTCATCTGTTTGCTAGAAGTTTGTACAGCTGATTATCACACCATTTTCAGCTCCCGCTTTATTTACCGTCCTTTTATGTCGAAAGGTCTACCATTAAACGAAAACTCTAATTTTGGTTTGGGATATCCGGCCACTTGTACACGAATATCGATATCGCAATTTTCTACGCCCTCTAATTTTTCAAATTTTTGTAAAAATATTGGAGCAACTAAAGAAATCAATGACCATAATTAGGCTAATTAAAAAATTGCAGTTTAATTTGATATCTTACCTTCAACAGTTAGTTGTGATGATGTTTTTGTATTTCCCAATTGATTTTTAGCCGAACATACATAGAAACCTTGATCATCTGCTTGAATATTTTTCAATACCAGCGTATAAACACCTCGTCGTTCTTCAGCATAAACACGTTGATCAAATGCAATTGGTTGTGCATCTTTTGACCAGACAATTTTTGGCTCGGGAAATGCTTGAATTTCTGTTTCAAGACGAGCTGTTCGCTTCAATGGAATAAGTAAATCTTTCAACGGTTGAATAATTACGGGAGGTGATGATATTCGCACGCTAATTTTTCCACTAATACGACCCAAATTAGTTACACAAACAATATCATAATCGCCAGCATCAGCTGCAGTAGCATGATTAATACGTAATTGATGTCGGTTTTCTTGTGGTGAACTAATTTTGAACTTGTTATTTGATTGAATATCTACAGCTAAGTGAGACCTATAAAAGAGAAAATAAAATAAATAATACAAAGTTTATTACTAACCATGTGACGAGTGGTGGAGGTAAGCCAGCTACTTCGACGTTTATTTCAACATCCTGACCATCGACAACAGTCACAACATCAGGTTTTTGAACAAACGATGGTGGAACTAAAATCGAGAAATATATCTTCACATTTATTTATTTAGATAACGAACTTTTTTTTACCTTCAATCTTCACTTGTGCATCAGACACTGAAGTGTCATTGCCTAAATTTGCTTTAATACTATAATATCCGGCATCGGCCGGTGTCACTTTTTGAATTGTTAACACATGAACTTTATTTCCTTTCACTGCAGCCACAATACGATCTGTTTTTGTCAATGGATGGTTATCTTTCATCCTAAAAATTAGCAGAAGATACATATCTTTAGTGATTGTAAGGTGGCAAGAGTCTGACTATTCACCAAACAACGGTCGGGACGCCTTTTTTGATATCCAATTCGCAATCGAGTGTCAACACTTTTCCTTGTGTCACAGATGTATCACGTAACGGACGTACAAATATACTACTTAAACCAGCAACAGTTAATTCAATATCGCATGACACTTTTCCTTGAGTATTTGAAACAATGGCTGTATAGGTTCCAATAACTTCAGCTACGACTTTTTTGATTGTTAAATAATGAATATCATTTTCAGTACGTAAATTGTATAAATCATTGGCAGTCAATACCAAACCCTTTCTAACCCAAGTAACTATAAAAAGTGTGGAAAACAATATTTTTATCATGAAACTATGTGGTAAAAAAAGTTTACCTGTGGGCGGTGGTGCTCCGCTAACTTTAACTTTAAATTCAACAGTCTCATTAACATTTGCTTCACGTGATTGAGACTTTTCAATAATTTTTGGAAGGCTTGTTTCACCTGCAGTAAAAATAACATCGAGTAATGCATATGAAAGTCTCTCAGAGTTTACATCGACTTGACGCGAAGCGTTTCTGGCTTTCAAGACTAGTAGAATTCGATGTGCTGATCCAGCAAATCATGTTGAAAAAATGTTAAGATGACAGCATAGTGTCCGGTTCACATTCGGGAGCTCGTTAAGGAAGCGAGCTTGCGTGCTCAAAACCATTTTACATGTAAGAATTTTGTTAACTTTAGAAGAACATCTTCGAGGGCTGATTTTTCCATGTTCACAACTTTGCGAGCCTGCCATGAGAAAACGATACATTCCCAAAAGGGGATCAACACATATTTATGACCTACTCTGCCAGGGCTATCAGAAAAATAAAATTCAGTAATGACCCATTAATTTCTGGACGCAAAAAATCCTACGGTATTTTCGCTAGGATTTTCCGATATTTTCACACTTATCGAACACGATGTAATGACGGTAGATTCTTCAAAAAATCACCCCATAGCTACGGCTGTGTTGAATATTTTCCTACAAAGTACATCATTTTACCTATTATTTGCAGTTGCACTTCTCTAAAAATTTCGGATACTCCATTTTTTGCAGTACATTTGATTGTGCCACAGTCGCTCTCTACAACATTATTTATTCGTAATAAATGCAAACCACGTTCTTCCAACGCTGAAATTTTGCCACCAGTTTTTAACTGTTGACCATTTAAATACCATACAACGTCTGGCTTTGGACTACCTGCCACACGGCATGTAAATTCAGCCATTTTTCCTTTAACAACATTACATGCTTTTGGTTCTACAGTAAATGTAGGTGGAGCGCCTAGAATATTAAAAAATCATATGTTAAATTTCAAGAAAACCTCCATCGTCAGATATTCCCACTCTATTAAAACTTCTATTCAGGACATTCAAGCAGATGAAGTATCAATCAGTTTAATTTCTACTCGTATCTCTGTCAGGATAAGATGGCAGGTAAGTATTCTCTCACCTGTGACAAAATACTTAATAACTTATTACAGATTCAATTCAAATAGCTCCACTTAACAGATTTGAATCAAATTGCTAAATTTGTTACCAGAGTCATGTATAATCAAAGAAACGACAACAACAACAACTTCATTGTCAAAGTTTTTGCATAGTTTTATCAAACGCAATGGAAACTATACCTTTTGCTGTTAACTGACATTGTGAATTGACTTTTCCTGTTTGATTAGTGACAACAATTTCATATGTGCCAATATTTTCTTGTTTAAATTGCTTAATATTTAAAACATGAATATTTCCATCTGATTTTTGTTCACTTTTTATTATTAAATTTGCATCTTGTTGTTGATTAATCACTTTTCCATCTTTCAACCATTGTACATGTGTATCGTGTAACGATTTGCATGTCAATGAACTCGGTTGATCGAAATCTGATTGGAATGATTTTAATGGTTGAAGTATCACCGGTATTTGCTGTTGTTGCTCTGGCTGAGGTGTTATACTTAATCGACGAACTGATTGTTGTTGCTCTGGTTGAGGTGTTATACTTGATCGACGAATTGGTTGTTGATGTTGTTGCTCAGTTTCTTCGAAAGCCGCTAATCGACTATTTATTTTTTCTGCTGACTTTTTCAATTGGCAAGTGCTCACCGTATAGCCAAATTGATTCTGTGCTTGTGCTTTGTATATCCCTAATTTTTTATGTTTAGCACCAATAATAAGAAAATGACGAACTGTATGTGGATTTAATTGTTCGGCTTTTTTTGTGTATACGTCACTTGGAATGACTTTACGTTCTTGAAAAAACCATGTTAAATCGGGTATGGGATTTCCGGAGACGATGCATTCGAGTCTAATATTCATAGAGTAAAAAATGTAGGTATGAGAGATAAAAGAGATATAAAACATACGTTATTGCATCATCTTCATGAATCATAAGATCTTCTAACGGTTTCGAGAATGTTGGTTTCCCCTCGGGAACCACCAAACCGCTTGTACGACGTTGAGGAGTTGTTGAATCATTCCCAAGCAATTGGTCACTTGTGGACACTGATGGTCGACTGAATATATTAAAAAAATATTTAGCGTACCAGCTAACAGAAGGTATATACAAATATACACGACATGAATGTTGTTTGCAATGGAGAGTACAAAGTAAACAAAAAATAAAAAAGTTCTGAAACGAGTATATCTTAAAGAAAAAAAAGTTCACAAACAAGGCTTACAAGAATAATAAAACTAAACTGCCCATGCAACCGAAAAGGTTTAAATCTAACTAAAACAAGGTGAAGAAAATAAACGCGACTTTAGATCAAATAACATAGATTTTGTGTAACTGATCCGAAGGTGGGGTGGAATACAGCTGTATACTCGAAATTAACACTAGAACGCCCGTCGGTCATTTTGACCGTTTTTTGATTTTTAGCTCTAATGAAACAAACTGCATACAATTTACTTAAAAATAAATTATGTCATAACTTTTAATTTGTCCCACAAAAATCAGTTTTTGCAGAATTTTTAATTCATTTTTGAGTTCAAAACCGTTTTTAATTATAAAATTAAAAATGAAAACAGTAATGGTCAAAATGACCGCTTTGGGCGTTCTAGGTCATGAAAATTTCCGGACATTCTAGTGTTAACCACTGCTTTGGAACATGAAAACTTGTAGTATTTTTTCTTGTTGCAATGTCCCAGTAAATGTTTATTAGTAGACACCTGACTACTGTATCTGCCTTTTCCTGTACTATTAAAACAAAAGTATCAAAATCTTCTCTGTATAAAAATACTGAGAATGAAATACCGTGACGTAGCTATACGTGACAATATATTTTTATTGAACAGTCGGTACAAATGTTTTTATGCGGTGGGGTATTAATGAGAATTGTTTTCTAACTTGATAGCTTTTAATATGCGGCTCTATGCCTAGTACAGTGATGTAATGGTATGCTATTATTGTCATGCTTAGTGAAATCATGGCATTTCGTTCTCTGTGTTTTTATATAGCGAAGATTTCGATGCTTTTGTTATAATAGTACAGGAAAAGGCATATACTTTAGTCAAGTATTTGCTAACAGTCATTTACTGGGACACTACAACAATAAAAAACATCACAAGTTCAGATGTTCCGAAACGTTTGTTGTAGTACTTGGTTGATGGTAAGTTAAGGTTTTAGACATGTAAATAAAAAATCTATGTCAAACCAAAGTGAGCCAGAGAAACATTTTATTTGTTGATACAAGACTCAACAACAAATATTATAACAAGCATATCTCTATCTTATTCTCAATAATAAAACTTTGAAAAGTTTTAAGAAAAGAAATGATAAAGTGACAAAAAAACTCGTCACATATTAGCCTAAACCACAAACAGTTTAAGAAAAGATGCTTAAAAAAGCTTTCGACACTTTTTTGTCGATTTTCATTTTTCACGTCTGACCAACTTTTACTCGAAAACTTTTTGTCTCTAAATAACTTCAAAGGCACATTGTCTGGTGCAGTGTTTGACACTGATTCCAAATATTACCTTATTTTTGTTTTAGAAGGAAGTCTTGATGCCAAAAGTCTCAAAAAACTGAAAAAACGATGTCAGTCGGCCGTCTTCTTTTCAACTTTTCAAACTGTTCTAGGGGTTCTAAAACAAATCTTTTTAGCACAGTTTGTAGAAAATTGAATTTTCTATTTGATGTCACCTTCATATTTCTAGGGAAACTCTGTTTGGATGCCCAAAAGTGAGTTATGGCAGTAAAAATTTGTATGTGAAAATCATAATCCTTCGCTTGATGAACCTCTTACAACATCAGTATTGAGTTTAGAAAAAGAGAAGGCACCTGACTTTGTTTAGTTTTTGATGGTCTTTCGAATGAGACGTTGCTCGACCAGAACGGATAAAAAATGACGGACTTATATCGAAAATATGAGATAATGGCTAATTTTTGCCATTCTTCGATGCACCTCATTTTGAAAATTCTATAACTCGGTCAAAATAAAGTTTGAAAGTGAACAATCTTTTTCGTCACCCCAGTCTTGATTGTAGAATCTGAAAATCAAATAAAAGTTATACGTCAAATTTTTGCGTGTTACGCACTTTCTCGATGGGGTGGCGAATCCTGTCTTAAGTACACGTAACGAGCGTGTTATAAAGAATTGCACTTTCAGTATTTTCAACTTTTTTCCTCTTTCTCACACCTGATTAAGTTTATTTTGTTACCAAAAGATTCCCCATTCAATTCTCTACAAAAAGTGCACTGACTGTTTTATTGCCGAAAAAATGAAAATTTTGTGGCAAGTGTGGCAAACTGTATAAAAAATACTACATAATTTTTCTGTTTATTCGTTTATAAGAAGTAACCATTGTGTAGGCTTCGAAAAGCACCATCTTCCTTCTATAATATTAAAAGTTTTTAGAGTTAGAATTGAAGGTGTAAAAAGTTTGTTATTTCTTGTAAATTTCTTAAAAATCGGGGGGCCAAGAGGTATTTTAGCAGTAAGTTGTAGTTTTTGATAAAAGACCTAGTTTATGCAAACTTCATCTTTCAGATTGAATTTCTTTTATTTTGAAGACAAATGTGTGGTCTATATTGTGGGATCATTAAGATTTGAGAGAAAAAGTCCATCTGTTATAACAAGCAAAGAAGGCCCAAGATTTTTGCTGTTCTTGCCCAATTTCCAAGAAAGCAATCTTTACGTTGAACATTTTGATTCAAACAAATTTTATCCTACACTACAAGAAAGAGCACACTAAAAACTACACAAACATACACTCGAAACGCGTTCGGATGCTTGCGGCTAAAACGCGTAACTGCCACCCTCAGCTGCGGTGGGTTGAGCGATATTTTGTCTCTTAAACCAGCCTTAAAAGCACATCATTAGACGCAGTTTTTTGCGCTGATTACGAATATCAACTTTAAAACGAACGAAGCTCAAATTTTTAAATCGAAAATTCAAATTTAAAATTTAGAAGTTTTTTTATTTCAATTTTCTGACCTACTTAGTTTTTTAAAAGGTTTCAGAAAGTATATCAGTGGATGAAGAATAAAATTCTCTACAAAATGCACTATTGACTTTGTCGGAACAATCTTAAAAAACGCATTTTGCACACTAAACAAATTTTTGGTGATTTTTACCGATTTCTTGTCGAATTCGAAATGGTACTTTTTTTGTAGCAACTCTACGAAAATCAAAAACATTTCTCCCACCACCGTTCTTTTTTGCTTAGTTTGATAGAGGGCACTCGATTGGATAAGGCTCCGTACAGATCAAGTTTATAGAAGTCTTTTTTACCGGTAGAAATATAACGATAAAACCCACCGCAAAAGAAAGCAAAAAAATGATGTAATTCCACGCTCGTTACGTGTACTTGACGAGATTTAAGCATCTTTTCTTAAACTGTTTGTGGTTTAGGCTAATATATGACGAGTTTTTTTGTCACTTTCGTTTCCTTTCTTAAACAAATGACACATCTGTTACATGCATAAATATCAGAGAGGAACGTATGATAAATCGTCGCATTGTTTCTTAGAAAATTTGTTTTTTCCGAGAAAAACAAGAAAACTGGTAATTTTTCTCTATTCGATTATATTTTGATCGACGCACTCACACACAAACACTTCTGACTATTCGATGAAACTAAACCGCAAAAAAGTCAGATTTGATTCATCTATATAAAGGTGTCACACGAAATAAAATCTAAATCAGCGTTTTTTTCATATTTGATCTAGTGATATTCTTGACGAACGATTCTAAATAGTTTTTTGTCACAATTTAACTATTGATGTTGCCTAGTCTTTTGTCCTTAAAACGAACGCATTTTTAGGTACCATCAATCATTTTCTCTTATAGGACATTGAATGCTAACAAAAAAATACAACGAAGAGTTGAAAACAAACTACACTGTCAAGGTCTTCTGACAAGAAGAAAGTAGAAAGTGTAGACATAGTTGGTAAAATAACAGTAAACAGGGAGAAGTAACCTTGTTCCTTTCGAAAATATTTATAACATAAGGTTTGATACTATAAAGCAGAAATAGTTTCAACTAATTAAACTTTCCGTCACTTCTAACACAAGTTACAGTATAGTTTATACTGGAATAAAGAACAATACTTAATGTCATCTCATTTTTCTAATATAATGAATGAACTATAAATTTAAGATCAATTGTTCTCACTCATGATAACTATAGTAATAAATAAATCACAAAAATACAAGATGTACGAGAGTGTATATTCAATTAATCAACATACCTTCCTCTTCGTGCTTGTAATGCTTCCATATGTTTTTGTCGGGTGATAATTAATTTTGTTAACTAATGTAACAACTTATTATTAGTGTTTGCTGTTCTCAATAAAAACGAGAACTAGTGTTTTTATAAAAATGTTTCAAAATCCTTTATAATATACAATCAGAAGGTTGTTATTGTGCATGTATGTGTCTAAAGATATAGATAAATTCTTATTATTCTGTTTCTTTTCTTTACTTCACACTGTGTCGTTGTTAATAGCATGTTTCACGTATATGTACATCTCGGGATATTTAGGTACTAAAGTATGTACATATATATTCATATTCTCACATCCCTGTTTCTGGAATATCTGTCTTTCTCTCTCCTCTTCCTTTTTTCTTTCTTTCTCAAGAAAATAATAAATAAGTAAATAAAAAACTGGGAAACCCTTATCTCAGTACATATGAGTATTACAATCTCAATGTGGAGAGAGTCAAATTTGACAAGCAATGGACAATCATCATAGCCAACAACAGAAAAAAAATTATATATTTAGATCTTTCTAGTCTTGCGTGTATGCGTGTGCGGAAACAACATGAATGACAGAAAGACATTGAAAAAATAGTCAAAAATAAGCCTATATGCAGCAGTAGCTGTAACAATTAGCAAATAAGAAAGAAAACATACATATTTTCCTCTCATATTACGTGACCCACATCATCATTCACTACCCAACAAACAATGTCGTCGAAGAAAGAAAATATATTGTTAATTATTTCTTCGTTCTTGCAAAATAAATAAATTAGTTAATAATAGACTAAGCAAGGACAACAACTTCCTCCTCCATATCCTTCTGGTAATACTTTATCTAATGAAGCATACCAAAAATATTAAAAACAGTCGTTATTGACATTTTCATAAAAGTGTGTTTATTTTTGTTTCAGAGAAAATGAAGTAGGGTGCATATAAGACATGAAGGTTATACAAAAAATTTGTTTAATTATTATATGTAAAATATATATTGATATTTATACTTAAAATTTTGTATAGTCTAGGAAAGAGAACTGATTTTTAAACATTGTTTAGCATTTATTGAGTATACAGAGAATGAGTAATATTCTACTATGTGGTTTAAATCATGTTTTGTTTTTCTTGTCTCCCGTGAATTATAGTAACTACAATAGATTCGTATGACATTGACGTAGACATGATTCTTTAATTAACTCTAATTCATTTAGAAAAAACATCTCCTTGGAATTAAGATCGCTAGGAAAAACACGAGCAAAACAAAAAAGTGATTCAAACGTTTAAGCTCTACTTTTACCATTAATCTCGATCAATGACTAGAGGAATTGCAATTTTATCTGTTGAAATAGATCTTCTTTTCAACGTACAGATACTCTTTTCCTTTCTTACCAGTCACCGTTAGAACGGTAAAAGCGCATTAGGATATATAATTCAATTTATTTTATAAGTAAACACCTAATTATAGAAATATTGTCTTTACTAAACACTAGAAAATTTAATCTCGGTTTTTTCTATCTAGTATATAAAATGTGAAATTAGAAATGTTCTTTTTCTGTAATCTCATATTCAAATCCAGCGTACAACTGTCTTTCATCATACTGATCACCTCCTACTTTACGCTAGAAAATGTCGTTTTCATTAAGAATCGAACGATTACATCTTGAAAAAGCACATAGTAAATTCTACAGATTGACAACAATCTCGATGTCACGTTTTTCTGATTAATCTTATTTAGATCAATAGTGTTCTAGATAAAAAAGCTTACATACTGATCATTAATCTTCGTCGTTCAACAACTCTTCATATATACGAAAGAAACTCGTACTGTGTCTTATAGTTCCCATGGGGAAATTTTGTCAAAGTTTCACAATGTCACAATAATTGGGATTGTACAGTTGCAATATCAAAGGCGTGGTCGTTCACACGTAACACACATAATTATCACACAGTTATTGTTCAAAAAAAAAGTATATAAAGTTCAGAAATACTTTCACACGTGTTCGCAAAGCAAGAATTTCTTTTCATATGTGTCCACACACAATTTTACCATTGTGACCATGTGTGAAAAATATGGCACAAAAAGTTTCCGAGAATAGTTCACGCGTTGTCACAAATGGAATATATTTTTTACGCGTACCCACACACCCTTTTTACGATGTTTACGATCAAAGTGCATTTCACGAGTGTACACGCCGTTTTGTATACTAAAGTTTCCCCATGGGTTATTCTAACTAAAATGTCCCAAAAGTGTTGACTTTGAATCGTGCCTCGCAGAATATTTTCAAATCTCACCTGTTGGTAGATACTGAAGACATAAAATGGGTAACGCTTCTCTAAAATTTCCGTATTTACTATAATAACAGTAGTCGACATCTATAATCGAAGATTATTTTGACTTTTATTCACATTATGTAGTACTTATATTAAAATAAGTACTGTATAATATAATAAATAATTATTTATTTTCTCAATTACTGGTAAGATAGTCAGGACTGTTCGACATTTCCAAAATTTGTATTAAAGAGAAACAGGAAAAAAATCAAAAGTCAATATTCTAATAATTTGGTTTTGTTTTTATATTAGCTTATTCCCTCATGTAATGTTTGTCTTCTTTCCTTAGTTGCTGATTGATACTACCTCTTGCTAATAATAAATGGATTAATCAATCACTTGTCAACCAGGTGTTTATTATTCCCCTTAATAAAAATAAAACATGAAATAACTTAGAACTCAGAGACAAAAAATGAAACTATTTTCCTATCTTAATAACCTTGTATTACTCTAGAGAAACAAGAAACTGTTCAATTATATACATGGCTTTATTCATATTAAGTATCTTGACTTTAAGGGTCGGGGGGCCGCGCCGCGGGGGGGGGGGGGGGGGGTGGCGCGGGGGG